CAGAGTGAGTGCACAGTAAAATATCACAATCATATACGACGAAGGATCTTTGTTTGACTGAGAACGTTATCAGTTGTTCTGACTGAAAGTCAGACTACAAGCTGCTGTAATCAGTCGTGCTTGCTGTGTTTCATGGTACTGAAATACAGCAAAGAGAAGTGATTAAACCCATTAAAGGGAGACAAGACATGATCCTTGCTGTAATCTTATTATCTGAGCATTTCTCAGTGAAGTTTCTCACGTCTGAATTATGTGATTTTCTCCGTTTTGTGTAGTGAATTACTGTCCGATGGTTTTACTGTTTGAATTACTTGTGTTTCTTAGCTTTGTCTGCAAATTAAATGTTGTTCACAGCAAAAGAAGGAACCTAAACTTCACTGGGCAGAAGTCTCACTGCTTTGTCTTCAGTCATCATTCAATAGGAGATCGTTCATTTGTTACAAGGAATAAAATGTAGCAAAGCTGTGAAAGACACGTCGCTTTAGTGTTTTGAAAAGCTCTTAGACTGAGATACACATCAAATAAAACCTATAACATGCTAGTTTGAGTTGCCACTGAGCCACACGCCTCCCTCGCGGTAAAACACACACACAACTTATCATTTTATCACATGGAAGTGAAAAAAGGAAAATATGTTTTTCTATTTTAGGCTATTAATTGTTTTATAAACCTAAATTTTACATATAACACGTATTCTCTGCAACAGACAGAAGCGGAGAATCAAATCTTCGCAGAATGCAACCTGATTTCTTCTCCCACTTTCTGTCTCTGGCAGTTCATGAGGCCTTTATGGCTGCACCTCCTTCAGGAGTCGGGACCAGTCCCAGAGCGCCTCTGCTGGACACGAACAGCTCTTCCCTCTGTGCGGCTTCTGGGAATCACCTGATGAGGCCGCTGGGTTTCGTCTTGGTGTCTAGTGTGTGACACACAGTTCTGCCACGATGTGCATATTATGACAAACACAACTTATATCTCTGCCTGAAGCTTCTTGCCCTCCTCGCTGTGCCACATTCCTCTGGAGTCGGTATCTGCCGTAACCCCTAACCCCGTAACACACACTGATTAATTCCACCTGAGGCCAATTATGCCTCCTCCCCTCTCCGTCCCCTCTGCAGCTGAGCCAACTCACGCCCGCCACCACAGTGTTGTAATCATGTTGTTCAAGATTTCTGATGTTGATGCTCAAAGACACACATTAAAAAATGTATGTATGCTCGAACTGCACACTAAGTTTGAATTTTAAATCCTGCAACTCTATATTGATTAGTTATCTCAACTAGACGGAGACGCAGACCTTGGAGAAGCCTTGACATATGTCTCGTGTGTACATGACATGAATTGGGAGACTAAGACGCAGACCTTCCACCTTCATGCATAACGTGTGTGTGTTATCTCAAGTATATAAATCAGAGGGCTGAGACGCAGACCTCCGAGCAGCAACTCAACACACCACTTGTTTCAACTCTGCTCCTACTTGCTAGTGTTCTTTAATAAATGTCCTGTTCAATGATTTTACACACGTGTTGATTAGGGCGGCCTTAAACAATGCGTCTCATGGTTTGTCTTAAGAAAAGTAAAACCCTCTACAGATATCTGTGAAGAATCACTGCTTTGCCCCTAAAATGTTCACTCTTCTTGCTCTTTTGTTGGACATCTGCAGGTCAAAGACTCGTCCATTTATCCTCAGAGACAACGGAGAACACTGAATATTCAGATCATTGTAGATACTACGACCACAACATGTGCTGATAAGACTCAGGATTTACAAATGTTATTTTGTTACGCTAAAATGATCTCAGGCGATGTGAGTCTTCCATTTGCAGCAACTCCCAGCATGCTTTAAACCAGTGAAGTGAAGAACACGACATTTAGAGTCCAAATGAAAACAACATGCATGTGATTGTGGCTGCAGTCACAGAGGGGAATCAAATGGAATCACAACAACACACAAACATCTGGAGCATTTATTGAACAGCAGGACAAAGGTACAAAAAGGGGAAATGGAGCAACTTCATTCCACCTTCATCTACAAAACAAGAAGTGATTCAGAGCATCACTGTTCAACTCCCACGAAACCAAGAAGGAAAACATCTCTTGATCCGAAACAGCAGCAAGAAATAGTCAATAACATTTCAATCAGTGTGCTCGGATGCTTCAAACCCAAATTTAAATAATATGATACTTTAAAACGGATCAAAAGACCTTATGAACCAATAAACATACTGATTTATTCAGAAAACCCTCAAATTATTATTTTCTTCAACCTGTTAAATTCAATCTACTGCAAAGAAAAATACAAGCAAACTATTTACACAATCAGAAAATAAATGTTGTTTTAATGTCTATATTTTGTGTGTGTGTGTGTGTGTGTGGACTCCCTCCCCGTCCACACAGAGAGCTGGAACCCAGTTTCTCACCAGCATGAGACGCAGACAGACAGACAACCAGCTCACACACCAGTGTGTGTGTATTTACACGTTTGTTACTGTTACGTTCTGACTCCCCAGGAGGGGAGTGGGATTCACGCCACTGCCGAGGACGTCCTGTGACCAGTACACGGGTATGGCGTCGTAGGTGCAAGAAAACAACATCACCTGAAGTTGGGGTAAGCAGGCTTTTATTTAAGCGCTGTTAACAGGGGAAATGAGCAGGGCTGGCGGTACCAAAGCAAAGAACAAAATGCCTCCCACCCACTTACCTGTCCTATCTCCCAACGAAAACCACTAACTGGCACACTAACAAGGCGCCCTAACCAAACTTACAGTAGGTGGCCCAGCCAGGTGTAGCTAGTGTTGTTAGACAGGAGAGTAACCCTACGTGCAGGTATGTAAACTCCGGAGCAGGGCTAAACTACTCCTCATCCCCCTGTAAGAAAAAGAACAAAAGAAAAAAAAACAATTGAATACACAGTACACCAAATCACCAGAACTAAATAACTACCATAGACCAGCACTCACATACACACAACCAGAGTGACACCCTCCCTGGGTGAAACAAACACAGGGGTACATATACTGACAGAAGGGCATGATGGGATTGGAGATGAGTGGAAACAGCTGAACCGGGTAACGAGAGTGGGTGGAGCCAAGATGAACGGACATCATGGATGATCAGTACCACCTGTATGAACACACACACACACACACACACAAACAAAACAGAACACATACCTATACACAGAACAGGGGACGTAACAGTTACCAACAATGATTCAACCCAAACAGCAGAAGTATCAAAGAGTAAATATGGTGGATTTGTTTGAGATGAACACACTAGTCTGTGAGCACATTGATGCTTTCATTGATTTGAACGTCTCCTAAAATAATCATCCTTGTTTTATTTCATTTGAACCTTTTTATTAAAACCAAACTATCCAAATAATTAAAAGTGACTTGATGTTTCCTCACAGTCTCCAGATGTTCACCAACCCTGATTCAGACGTTTAAATGAAAGATGAATGAGCCATAAATTGACAGTTTATGGAGAAGAATGTGGAGCAGCGCTTGTTGATCCAGAGCAATATTCACCCATAAACCTAAAGAGAGAAACAAATACATAAAAGAGAACTAAATCATTTACCACAAACTACTTTGACTCCATTTTGATAAACATGTGTTAGTTCGTTCCTAGAAGTTAAAGTAAGAGCTTTGTATATCAGACTTTATCTGAGGAGCTGATGTGAAGCTTTCTGTGTCTTTCTCTTAATAATCTCACGTCTCACGGAACCAAACTGCACCTTTGTTGTAGAAAAAGTCAAAGACTTCTTTACATGAGAAGCTCCTTGTGCTCACACTGAGGGCAGCTTTGTGGAACAGCAGCTGTGAATAGTTCATGTCCACGTGGAGCTACTCACTGTGTGCAGGACGCCGACTTCAAGGTTTAGGGTTCAGTTTGTCCCTGAGAGACTCTTCAGAGCCGTCAGTAGAAGAAGAGCGTTGGGCTGAAATAGAAAGAAATAAAAAATAAAAAGAGAATTTTCGTGTTTAGTGTTCTAAAAGCTTCCTCCCAGCAGATACAATCTCAGTTTTTTAACCTATTTCTTCCTCTAAAAGCTAAAATGACTTTCAACAACAGCCTGAAGAAACAACTAACTACGTTTAAGTGTCTCAAGTGCAAAACAATCACAGAATTGTCTACAAGTAAAATGGCACTAAACAATAAATTCAGAATAAAAGCAAATATGGTTTTATAAGTGTGACTGGTGAAAGTTGCTTCAGTGTCTCATTCTGGATAAAAGCATCATCTCAAAGCCTTAAAATCAAATGCTCCTCAACACTGTCTCTGATCGTCTCTCTCACCGTTCCTCTTTCTGTAAACCTTGAATCCAACCACAGCAGCGATGATGACGACAAGAACAGCCACAGCGATGATGATGATGATGAAGGTGGAGGCAGCAGGCTTCTCTGTGGAGCACAAAACAATCAAAGAGTCTCAAGCTGAACAGATGAAGCAGGTCGGAAGAGAAGAAGATCCACTTATCCAGCAGACCTGAACACACACACCATGTGACGTCATTTCTTTATGCCGTCTGCACATGATGACTGAGACACATATTCAACCTCCTTCCTGAACTTTGCTCTGTCTGATTCACTGATGGATACATGTATTAATACACGTGTTTAATCATTCTGTCTTCTCATCTTTAAGTGACCAGTAGTTGTGTGAATGCAGATTCTACAACGTCTGAATTGTGGTGACACGTTACAATAGTTCAGCATGGACTCAAATAAAGCTCTTACCTGGAATGAGTTTACAAAAGGATGAATAAACTTATTTACAGAGAAATGAACCAAATATTGACAAGTTTATATATTAATCTAGACCAATAAACAGTGTTCATAACTCTCGCTGTGTTTAATTCTGATCCGAGTCTTAAAATGACTACAAATAAAAACTAGACTAGAAATGTAAGAAAACAAAACTTCCCAAATCTAAAACACACAAAGTGAACAAAGTGGATGTTTGCTTCCCTCCTTCACCGCTCCGGGTCTCAGACCTACCCGTGTTGGTCCTGGTCTTGTCCAGTTTGGTGACGATGTCCTCGTCCACACCAGACAGCTGGAACACACAGTCGTACCTCCTCCAGTCTTCAGCAGGGACGGAGGACAGTTTCAGGTCAACCCTCATCTGGAAGGAGGTGAGGGGGGAGAAATGTGGGAGATCCTACCGGTTCTCATCAGAGAGCTCCTCCCGTAGCTCAAGTACTTCTTAAGCCACTCAGGACACACATGAGTCAGGAAGAACTTCCTGTGTGTTATCCAAGCTCTGTCCTAATCCCACTTCTGTTTGATACGGACAGCCTGCGGTTTTGGAGCGATATATTGCTCTGTCTCCGGGTCAAATGATATGAAGTCTTCTCCATCATAACCGTACTGAACATAACCCTTGACCTCATTGGTCTCATCATCCCATTCACAGCCGGCCATCTTCTGGTTAATGTGGACACCTGAGAGAGAGAGAGAGAGAGAGCGAGAGATTTGATTTTGAAAAACCTTTATTTTCTGAAACGCACAAACGTGTCACATACACAACAACTCTGAAAAATCGTCGATTTGGACGCTGGCTCCACTCCTCCCGTCATGGCGTCATTCCCCACCAGCATCTCCTCTTGCGTCAGCCAGCCAGGATCCTCCTCCACCGGATGGACGCCGCTCTCAGTCCACAGAAGCACCTTCGCTTCCTCTGTTTATCTTCAGGATGATCTTCCTCATCCGGAAGACTTCCTGCTGGGTGCATCTTCCACTACCCTTTTTGCTCACGCCGTCCAGTGAGAGAACTTCTCTAAGTCAGAGAAATACTCCTCCATGTCCACCCCCTTCATGTTCTTTTTACATCCAGGAAGAGCTTCACTCTCCCCACCCCGTACCTGCTGGTCACCGTCCCACCAGAAGAGGCGCCGTCAGTGGAATCCCAGTCAGCAGAGGACCCGGGTTCACCCGCTTCCCTCTTGTTCTCCTTCTGTTTTCTGACCCTTTCTTGGCTCGAGAGGCTCCTCCGCTGCTCCTCGTCTTCCTTCTCTTCAGGGGGGCTTTACATTCCTCCCCCTCTCCCTCCATGTCCTCGGCGCTGCTTTCAGACAGCATTTCCTCAGCACGTGTCTCCTGACTTTTTTCCAGCTCCTCCTGCCCTTCTTCACCCCCCAGAACCACCTGTTGAACCCCACTCACACCTTCCCTTCTCTCTTGGCTAAGCTGTCTGACACCACCTGTCTCTTCATTCACCCCCACACTCACCTGGCCCACCTGTTGGGCCTCAATCAACCCCTCAGTCACTCTGTCGCCCCCCTGGCAGGCCGGCTGGACTCCACCACACCCCCCCATCTTCTCCCCTCTCACACACCTCACTCTCCCGCTGGACTTCACTTGTCCCCTCCCCACACATTTGCCCTACCTGTTGTCCTCCACTTGTCAAGTCAAGTCAAGTCATTTTATTTTGTATAGCCCATAATCGCAAATTACAAATTTGCCTCAGAGGGCTTTACAGTCTGTACACATACAACATCTTCTGCCCCGAAACCCACCATCGGCACAGGAAAAACTCCCCAAAAAATGAAAAAAACCTTACAAGAGGGAAAAAAGGGAAGAAACCTTAGGGAGAACGTCAGAGGAGGGATCCCACTCCCGGGATGGACAGACTACAATGGATGCCATGTGTACAGAATGAACAATGTATAATGCAATGCAATTCCTATGACAGAAACGATTCAAGTAATTGTGAGTAGTAAGCCAGGCGCACAGCAGGACCACTGCAGGGGCAACCACCATCAGATAGAACCACCATCACATAGAACCACCATCCACAGAAGCCTGTGGGGAGGGAGAGCACAGAGATTTTAGGAGAGGGTAATGTCGGTTTATGAGTACAGTAATATGATTTATATCTAAAATAATGATGATGATGATGGCAGCAGCAGGCGTCAGCATGGCCACGGTAGGTGTCAGGACCAGGGTCCCGAAGGAACCACGATCTACGACCTGATAGAGGAGAAAGCACAAAAAAAACTCCCGGAAAGAAGCTGAATTAGTCATGTGCATTAATAAAACTTGAATTATGGTAGAGCGAGAGCGTGAGAGAGGAGCTCGGCGTGTCCTAAGAAGTCCCCCGGCAGTCTAAGCCTATAGCAGCTTAACTAAGGGCTGGTCCGGACTAACCTGAGCCAGCCCTAACTATAGGCAGAATCAAAGAGGAACATTTTAAGTTTTACTTTAAAAGAGCTGACCGAATCATATAAAGGGTAATTAAAATCGGTCCAAGTACAGAACCTTGTGGGACTCCGTGACCAACATTGGTGGTCTTTGAGGATTCACCGTTTACAAGCACAAACTGGGATCGGTCCGATAGGTAGGATTTAAACCAGCTGAGTGCAGTTCCTTTGATACCAATTAAATGTTCTAGTCTCTGCAACAGGATACAATGGTCTATGGTATCAAATGCGGCACTGAGGTCCAGCAAGACAAGAAAAGAGATGAGTCCTTGGTCCGATGCAAGTAGAAGATCATTCGTAATTTTCACCAGTGCTGTTTCTGTACTGTGATGCACTCGAAATCCTGACTGGAAATCCTCGAACAAAGCATTGTTTTGTAGAAAGTCACATAATTGATTTGCGACGGATTTCTCAAGGATCTTAGAGAGGAAGGGAAGATAAGAGATAGGTCTGTAGTTAGCCAACACCTCTGGAGCAAGAGTAGGTTTCTTAAGAAGAGGTTTAATTACAGCTACCTTGAAGGACTGTGGTACATGTCCTGTCAACAAAGACAGATTCATAATATCTAATAAGGATGTGCTAACTAAAGGAAAAACTTCCTTAAGCAGTTTGGTCGGAATCGGATCCAAGAGACAGGTAGAAGATTTAGACTTTGAAAATAAAGAAGTCAGTTGATCAAGGTTGATGGAAGAGAAGGCATCCAAACAGGCATCAGGGCCCACTGCTGCATCCAAGGTTCCTACATCGGAGGACAGGTCGGCACTGGTTGAAGGCAGGAGACCGTCAATTTTCTCTTTGATAGTCAGAGTCTTATCATTGAAGAAGTTCATGAAGTCGTTACTAGTGAGGTCCAAAGGAATACACGGCTCGACAGAGCTGTGACTCTCTGTCAGTCGGGCTACAGTGCTGAAGAGAAACCTGGAGTTGTTTTTATTTTTCTCTATTAATGATGAGTAATAAGATGCTCTTGCGTTACGGAGAGCCGTCTAATACGTTTTAAGGCTGTCTTGCCAAACTAGCCTAGATCCTTCTGATTTGCCATAATCGTTCAAGTTTCCGCACAGTTTGCTTTAGGTTCCGTGTTTGAGGGTTATACCACGGTGCAGACTTCCTTCTTGTTGCTATTCTTCTTTCCAGAGGAGCAATAGCGTCCAGCGCCACTCTCAAAGAGCCTGTAGCAGTACCGACAAAATTATCAATCTGGGACGGACTGAGGTTCTCACAGGAGTCTTCTTGTATCTTGAGGCAGGGCACTGAACTTAGAGCTTAGGAACTTGTCCCTTCCTGGCCCCCACCACTCGACTCCTTTTGTTCCTGCAAGTCTGCATTTTGAGTCCTGCCTTCCACCCGCAACCCTGACACTCCCCACACATTCGCCCTACCTGTTGTCCTCCACTTGTCCCTTCCTGGCCCCCATCACTCGCCTCCCCACCCTGCTGGACCCCACCAGTCCCCTGCTGTCCGTTCTCAGCCGCCTGCTTGATCCCACCTGTCTCTTCCTGTCCCTCCTCTCCCTCCTGTTGTACCCCACCTGTCTTCTCCTGTCTTCCCTGACCGTCCCGATCTTCCACACCTCGTTTCTCTGCACCCTCGGCAGAGTCCTTTCCCGGACATGTTCTGGCGAGATGTCCTTTCCTGCCACACCTGAAACATCTCATATTGTCAGAAGTGGCAAACACCACATACACAAAGTCCTCCACTTCGACCCCAAACATCAGGTTGAGCTCCTTGGTCCTGTTGTTGAGGACCATAAGGAGTTGACTTTTGTGTGAAACCACGTGTCTCAGTAGCGGGGACTTGCACCCCGAAGAGACCAGGCTGCAGTCCTCCACCGAGTACGAGGGGCTCAGCGCGATCCTCACGGCGTGCTTCCGCGTCAGCCTGCCAAAATCCCCGCACGGCGTGCGTGCAGCACGCCGTCCTGCAAACTCCGAAACGCTGCAGATACATTCAAAGTGCACATTCCCACAACGACGTACACAACGTTGACTTTAGCTGTCAATTATTTGTGAAAACCGACATAAAACACGCTAACGCTCTCAGATCAGAGAGAGAGAGAGACATATTTTCTTGATAAAAGACTTCAGTCATCATCTGATTATCAACATTCATGTTGATTCATTTTCTGTTCATCGACTAATTGATTCAATGTTTCAACACTAAATATCCTGAATGTTTGTTCTAAACTCACTGCAGTCCACTTTAGTTCATTAACTCTCATCTGTATCATACTCCAGATCAAACTAATTATTCTTGTCTTTGCAGATGATGTAATAACTATTTCTAATGAATCCATGAATTGTTCACACTGTAAAATGTCAGAGAGGCTGATGAAACCTTGGAAGTGCTTCTTCAGTGTGAACAACACTGAGCAGTATTTCATTCATCACCATTTCAAACAGACAAGAGGAAGAAGTCGTCTCAGTGAGGAACCTCAACTAGAACATGTTGGACGTCATCTGATAAAACCTGGAATGAAATACTGAAGCATCGACTCCCTGAGCTCAAGTAAAGCTCATCTAATCTAAGCTGGAGTTCTAATCAGGATGAGAGGAAATCTTCTTCATCCTGAACAACACGGAAAAGTATTCATTGTGTTTATATACTTATATTTAGGAACTGGAAGCAGAAAATGTTTCAGTCAAGAAAAGATCTCAGACTGTTTAATCTGTGTGTGTGTGTGTGTGTTTGTGTTTACGTACTAATAACATAAAGGATGCAAATATAAACAACAAGTGTGAAACATAAACAAACCTCCAGTTTGGTTGAAGCTTTGTTTTGCTATTTCAATGTGGCCTTTAAAGTCCTGCTGGATGTCCATAGCGAGCTCAGTGTTCCTCTTCCAGAACTGAGGATCATCCTCTGTGAGTCTGATCATCCAGTCCTGTCTGGGTTCTAGTCTCCTGGTGTTACTGTCATAGTGAACAAACTCAACTTCATCCAGCAGCCAAACAGCCACAAACTCTGGAAATTTTGGGAGTCCAGAGGACGCAGTGTAGAAATACTTCAGCGAGTGAGTCACTGAAACCAAAAAGGAATCATTATCAGTTCTGATGTCACACTTTAATTAATCAATAATTATGTTGTTTTCCTGCAAACTGAATTAAAAAGAAACACAGAACATCAAAGACACCCTGATAACATCTGCTGTGTTTAACAACTCAATAAATACAGAAATAAATGTTTACTTTGATATTTATGATGATTCAGCTTTTAAAAACAGACGTTTATTCTTGTGAGGTTTTAAACAATAATTTTGAACTCAGAGTTTCTTGAAGTGAAGTGGAGACACAAACAAGTTAATTAAGGTAATTTATTTGATCTTTTAATTGCTGTTTACATTTTTTATTCTCAAATAAAAATGAATTCATTTTGTTATTTTTTATGAGATTTAAGTTGTTTGAGTAGAAGGATTCTTTATTTATTAAATGTTTTAGGTGATAGCATTATTAATATAAACACATGACCTAAACTCACTGGATTCAGATTGATAGTTTGTTGTTTTTAGTAAACAAGATACAAACTAAGAGTTTAAAATCAATTATTATTGATTATCAATTCATTATTATTAATGATTTATTAATGAGCTCAGACTGAGTTTGACATTTCTTCACTTGTCTTTCTTCTCACTCACCAGACAACATGTAAACACCAATATATCTGCAATAAGATAATATCTACAAGTAATATTGATGACTGATTCATCAGCATCAGTGTGACGTCATCGGTGATCTGCCGCGCTACGTCATGCTGCCATGTCCGCTTCAAGAGCGATCCGTCCGTTTAATGTCCCGAAGACAGAGACAGCAGAGTGAGACAAACACGCTTCTGTCCTTCACACAAACTCACGAGAGGAAACACGCGCGCACTTTGACAACATGTGTTACTTTTTACAACTTTGTCTGTCGTCATCGAGAGAGTCCTGAGCTAAACATCAGAGACATCAGAGACACTTCAGCTGATGTCTGCAGCCTATGAAGACACGAAGCGTCTCTTCTTCTACAATCAAACACCTCATTAAACAAAGCGTCAACTCACGTGCTGCAGCGCCGTGAAGGCTCATCATCAGGAGAGACAGAACCGAGATCTCCGCCCCGACAAGTCGCATTTTAACGTCCGCTTGTTTCACCGGGAAGGAGAGAAGTAGTGATGAGATGTGCCGACGCTTCGACGCGCGTGTCGAGGCTCGCTTCATTTAGGGGAGGAGTTTCTTATCTTATTCAAAGGTGAGGTGTTTATTGTGCTCCAAGGAGTTGGGTTACAATAACAGCAGCGAGGATAAGGAGGAAACTGGAGCTTCAGCCATGATAAGTCATTACAATATTACAAATGCACCAACACAAATTTTCCCTGTTCACTTTTGTTTATTGTGCAAATAAAGACCGGTAACAGAAACTGTATTTATTCTCTTTTAACCAGCCACCAGAAAACAAGAGCTGGATGAAGCCTCGTCTCCATGATAGTGAAGGACACACAGCCCTTCAGTATTGTGGATGATGTTGGATTCAGGGCATTTGTGTCCAAACTGGATCCTAATTATGTTCTCCCTACAAGGTCGGTATGTATGGGTGCATGCATGAAACAGAGGAGTACTTTATCTACTCGCTGTAGCACGACTTAGAGGGCTCATGTCAGCTCAAGACTTAGAAACACTTGTACATACACTTGTTCTATGTCAGAGAATTAATTTCAAAATCCTACTGCTCACATATAAATCACTACATGGTTTAGGGGCAAAGGATATCACTGAGATGCTTCCACCACATAAGCCTTCAAGATCACTAAGATCTGACACCAATCTGTTTCCCAGAGTAAATACAAATCATGGGAAAGCATCATTCAGTTACTACGCAACAAACTGTCAGGGATGCGGGTGGGAGGCAGGACTCAAACGCGGACTTCTTCGGAAACAAAAGACTTTAATAGTAAAAAAAAAAAAAGGGGAAATCAAAGGGCCAAGGGGCAAAAACACACAGGCAAGAAACTACGGACATCCACGACAATAGACAATGACGCGACAAGTGACAACAGAGACACACGGCTTAAATACACAAGGGAGGTGCAGGTGATTGGACACAGGTGGAAACTATTAGACGATCACAGGTAGAGTGGCAGAAAACTACAAGATACAACAGGAAGTGAACCACACCGTGACACAAACAGCTGGAATAAACTTCCTGAAGATTTAAGACTTGCCCCAACTCTGACCACGTTTAAAACAAGACTGAAACCTTTTATGTTCAGCTTCGCCTTCTGCTAAATTTGACCAACATTGCACTTTTAACCTCTGCTTTTAATTAAACAATTTAAATAAGATTTTAATTTATAATTTATTTTTCTGTTTTTAATTGTCTTTTAATTCCTGCATTTTATTTCACTTTATTGTATGAAATGTTATAATGTGAAGCACTTTGAGTCTGCCTTGTGTATGAAAAGTGCTATACAAATAAAATTGCCTTGCCTTGCCTTGCCTTTATTTTTTCTCACGGTTCAATTCAATTCAATTCAATTCATTTTATTTTGTATAGCCCATAATCGCAAATTACAAATTTGCCTCAGAGGGCTTTACAGTCTGTACACATACAACATCCTCTGCCCCGAAACCCACCATCGGCACAGGAAAAACTCCCCATATAGTTCAGCACTATATATTTTTTCCTTTAGGCTCTGAAGGCCATTGTGATATATCGGTGGGTTGTAATAAGCACGGAAAACGATGGCGGGTCACGTAACTTATTTATTCAGGACTGCCAGAATACATCAGCCTGCTCGCAACTCTCCCGCTCAACAACTCAACAACTTACGCTTACGTAGTCATGTGTCTCTTAGAACACATCACAACTCTAATAACCCTCTACATGAAAAACCCAGTCTATTACAGCCATGATGGAGGCTGACCATGAGTCAGCTGAGAAGGCTGAAGTGGAAAAGGTAGCTGCTGTTAGCGTTACTTCTGACATGTGGACATCCATCAATATGGATGCCTACCTGGCTGTAACGTGCTATTTTGTGGTTGAGAAAACCACACTCAGTTCAGTGCTGTTAAGAGTACAGGTATATACCCCAATCACACACTGCTGAAAATATAGCTTGTGTTGGGCCCTCCACCCTGCTAATAAACCTCACCACGCTTTCTTCACCGAGGACAAAGGAAAAACACAAACATATAATTAACTAATTTAGCGTATTTATATATACTTGATGTTCATTTGATTTGTTCAGTCATAACGTGGTACGATATAGTTCGGATCAACGAATCCGCTACCTTTGATTTATGTTTGAATGTGTACCTGCAAATGTCGATATTCCCTGTTGATCTGATGCTGTGACGGGAAGGGACCACGTCACAGCATCAGAAGGGAGTGAAAGCGCCAACTGTGTTACGCTGTTGAATGATATCTCATGGTAAAAATAGCTCTCTGATTTTCGTTTCGATCTTCGATCGCTTTTCGCTTTCGGGGTAGTCGGCGGCAGCCCGCTGGAGACTCCGTGGACCGCCCATTGCCAGACGGGTTCCCCTGAACTCGTCCAAGGGAAAAAACTCTGCTGAGTCCTCTCTTGGTCGCGTCATTCTGTCAGGGGGTGAGGGTGGAGGCAGGACTCAAGACGCAGAGTTCAAAAGAAAAGGGACTTTAATAGTCAAAGGTCAAAAAGGCCAAGGGGCAAAAACACACAGGCATGCAACTCAAGAGACACGGACATGCGTGGCGAAAGACAATGACGCGACCAGTGACACAAGAGACACACGGCTTAAATACACAAGGGATGTGCAGGTGATTGGACACAGGTGGAAACTATTAGACGATCACAGGGGATGACGGGACAAGGCAGGAAGTGAAGTTACCCGGGGACACGAGTGGCAGAAAACTACAAAATACAACAGGAAGTGAACCACACCGTGACAGGATGTGGTTCACCAAAACAAATTCCTTCTGTGTATACCTGGCAATAAAGCTCTATATGATTCTAATTTATTACTGTATTGTTTAATGTTACAGGACCCTAGTAAAAGAAATGGGGATGGAAGGAAAGCTGAACGGCCAACAAGCAGCCAAGAAGTGGGAGAACTTAAAGAGAAAATATAAGGTAAGCAATGAGGTGTTACCTTAACAATCTCAATACTAGTAATTTATTTAACAACGTGTTTTATGTTTATACTTGTTAAATTAAAACAAGCATATTTTAGCAGGCGAAACTGTCATTTCTTGTAATATTTTTATTTATTTTAATTTTAACACTTTCATTTAGAAAATACATTCTGACATTAAAACAACAACACATCTATGACCACAACATATTGAATTGTGAAAAGCATATCCTAAATTACTATTATATAATTATGAGCAATGTGCTTCTGTCTTCCTCCAGGACTTAAAAATACCTAAAACTGGTTCAGGAACAGATGCTGGAGAGGCAACAGCTGCTACGTGGCAGTACTTTGAGGATATGCATGAGGTGCTGGGTTCCAGGCCTTCTGTGGACCCTCCTGTGATTGTTTCATCATTTAATGATGAGGATCCAGTAACAATCATTACGGTAAGGTTTCAATTGTTGTTGTTATGAATATATCATTGTTCTTTACATGTCAGAATGTATATTTTAATAATCTACTACACATGATTTATTATCCATTTCTGTATTATAATTACTTATGTAATGTCTTGTTCTCCTGGGAGATTGTTGAGCCCAGTACATCTAGCAACATAGCACCCTCCTCACCGTTGCCAAATACAGCAGCCACAGTCTCTCCCAGTGCAGCATCCCCCACGGCCCTATCGAGCCCCATAACTCCTTCACCCAGGAAAAGAAAGCGGCAAACTAATCCTATTTTGGATTTTTTAATTGAGGAGTCTCGTGAAGAGAAGAAACGCCCCAACGAGAGTGAGGCCAAGACTGAGAGGTTCTTGTGTCTCTTTGAAAAATTGATAGACAAAATGTAGTTGTTTTTGATATGGTGTTAAATTTTGCACAATTGGTTATTGTATACAAGTTGCTTTACACAACTTTACTGGCATTTGTTGCAAATGCCACGTTTTTGTTTATATGCTGGTTTTTTTTAATTTGATAAAAAAATGTATCTTTATTTTATTGTTATTTACAAAGTTTATACATTCCAGTGCAATATTTTGTTTGATATAAATGGATATGTCCTTATCTATTTATAGTTTTGTATATTTATGGCTAGAAAATTGTTTCTTAAATGTGTTTCTGGGCATCAATAACAGTATCAAACAGTAAATACCTGAAACAGACAAAGAATTCAATACAAACATTTTACTGCAAACAACATACACAGACAAAAATACACATCTGGGTCATCTTCCTGAGTTCATACAATGCCTGAAACTAGGGCAGCCAGTCTGTCCCTTGTAGCATTCCCAGAGGTTTCGCTGTATGCCATGGCTTCACAGGGAAGTTGGACGTCAAAATTGTCCCTTGAAATGTCATCATCTGGCTCGAGCATGTCTCCGTTGTCTAAACACACATTGTGCAAAAAGGCACAAGAAGCAATGACCTGGGGTGCAAATGTTGGTTTCACTTCCAAGGCTTTGAAAAGTGTAGATCTCCATCTTGTTTTCATGACCCCAAAAGCCCTTTCAATTATACTGCGGGTCCTTGACTGGTGATTGATTGAAGCTTGATTGAAGCTTCCCTGAACTTGTCCAATCACTGGCTCTTTGTAGGGTGTGATCAAGCAGAGTGGTGTATCTAAACATGGATAGCCCCCATCACCCAGAATAATGTACCCTATAGGGGGATAGCGTTGTGCCCTATAAAATGAACTGTTTTTCAGATTTCGTGTGTCCTGAACTGACCCTGGCATATCGCTTGCATGTTGATGGAATAAAAGCCCTTGTAATTTAATTCAACATCACAGAATAGTCTACAGATGATCTTGATCTGTGTTTCTGTGAGTTAATAAACCCTGTTATACTTTAAAGAACCGTTTTCCTGTGTTTATTTGTGCATTTATATGGTGGTGACAGTTGACATACATCGCCAGTGCTCAAACTTAAATCCTTCCAACATCTTCGCTCTCAAGGAGTGAATATCAATTATGAGACTTGATTTGCAGTACTGGTTATTAGTCCCTGTTAGCTCAGGGTGGTGCCCCGTTATTTATTTATACTGAAGAAGTATCTTAGTAATTATTAATAATTCTATTAATGTCCAGAAGTTAGTTCCTCATTTGCTA